GGGGTTTCATCCTGGGGTTCCAGCGGATGTAGTAGCCGACCCAGAGCTCAAGATGGCGCATGCTGGCCACGGGATACAGGACGTGGTTGGAGTAGCTCACGTACAGGGGGTTAGTGAAGTCTTCCAGTTGGCTGTTGATGTAAGACCAAAGCGACACGGTCTTTTTTGGAAGGCTCTGTAAGGGAAGGGAAGGGGGTGGAGGAGGCTTTATTCCCCATACGAATCCCAGCATTTATCTGCGAAGTATTTATAACAGCATACACATATGCCTGTCGTTAATACAGAGCTGGTTGCCTTTTTGTAGCTTAAAAAAAAAAAAACAGAACAAAACCGGGTTTTTTTATACGATTATTGTAACGGAAGCACACGGATGCAGGCAGGCACACACACCCTGGCATGGAAACATCCCCTCTTACCTAGCCAGGTGCCAACACAGACCGGGAATCACCATCGGCACAGCAAGGGGACACTGGCATGTGAACTCTCAATGCTTTAGTTAAACTTCACCTTTTAAAGTGCTCCTGGAGGACTTGCTGGAGCATTTAATTGCAAAGGAAAAAAAACATTTGACTTGGGCCCTGATCTAGTGGAATAATTAGGCCTGTGAATAGTCCCAGTGAAACCAGTGCTGAAGTGCCGTCTAGATTAAGTGCTTCGCTAGGCTGAGGCCTTAAAAAAAAAACCCAAAATCCACATGCAAACAGCATGCAGGTTTTCTTCCCTGGAAATTACAATTATTCAATCACTGTGGACTCTAGAGAAACAAACAGAGACTCTGGTTTCACTACAGTACAATGCTATCACTTCTGTATTACAGTAATTTTTTTTGTTTTTTTAACTGATGTGCTCTCAAACATGATCACATCAGGTCCTCTCAGCACCGTCCTCAATGTACGTTTGTGATGTTAGGCTACAACCTTTTGGTGACAAAACGCTTCATCTTTAGGTAGGTGAGACAGAATGAGCGTCACTGCTTTCCCTTCTGATTCCAGACTGGGTCTGAATGTACACGTCTATACGCTCCTCCCTCGGGAAACAAATCTCGAGCAGGCTGCAGGGCAGAGCTGGCTGGTGGCAGGACCTACAGGCACGTTGTTCCTAATACTAGCAGCTCTGTCCTCTCCCAGAAAGTGCAAGCACAGCACTGAGACCAGTTACTTGCTGTAACCTGTGTGTGCAGAATGACAATACACACTTGATAGTTAAAATCAGCCTAACGGGACCCCTGCAAGGAAAAGGGAGGGCAAAAAGGTACCAGTTGCCATAGAGAGGGTTACATTAAACTGGAGTTCAAAGAAAAACTGCATTTCCAACTACCTGGGAGACATGCCAGGAGCTATTCCGCCACCACTGAGGAGCAGAAAGCCACACTGGGAGCAGTGGCACTGTCCAGAGGGAAACGGTATCACTCTGAAATGGAAAGTCTCCAACTGACAGTGGTTTGTGCTGAGGAAAACACCCCATGTCCCAGCTGTTACGAAGGGGCTTGGCACTACCCAGACCTGCATCTACCACTGCCTTTGAGTGCCAAAGCAGCTTCTCCAGCAATATCTGGCCAGCTAAAGCAATCACAGTACCAAGCCTTCACCCTGGAGAGAAGCTGTCTTACCTCCTTCACTCTCTGCTGCTCACTGCTGCACAGGAAGGTCCCAAACAAACAGCTGTACAGGTGATCCAGGATGGTTATCAGGAAGTACTCATTGAACTCAAAGGCTGTAGGAAACTTCAGACAGAAACAGAAAATTAGACTGGAATTCTAGAATAGGAATCGCCCATAAACTTTCTCCCATTTCGTGGTCTTGCTAAGGACTTGGCCTATCTTCTTGATTTCTAAAACAGGATTTGTCCCTGTTCCCTGCCTGGCTGGATATTCAGGATCATATTTGCTCCTTCCAGAAGCAAGAGTTTCTCTCCTGGAAAGCTGCTTTACATGTGCAGAGAGGAATTTTGAGCAAAAGCCAGAGGTCTGAAGGGTTTGACCGCTGTGTTTATACACACTCAGTGCTGCTTCAAGTGGAAGCTTGCTCTGCTACGCCTGCCCCTCACGACGGACCATGCAACAAGACTGCGGACAAAAGCCTGATGCAAATATGAAATAATGCGTGAAAAGAAATGGAAATTTCCCAGGGCCAAATAGAAGGAACCTGTGTGTGCAACACAGCACTTCCCAGAGGGAACAGCAGGGAGGCATCATGCAACGCAGGTCAGTGGGAGGAACAGGTGTATGGGTAGGGGCTGGGTTTGCTGTTGATGGTCTGTGAAGAAACAATCAGACCCAAGACAGGGAGAACTGAAGCTCCACAAAGGATCAATAAGAACACATGCAGTGAACTGCAGAGATATGCTGGGGTGATGAAGAGGAGAGCAGGAAGCCTTCCTCCCTCACAAACCACCCTTCTCTTCCCAGGCTGCCCTGGTTGCAACATGGTGACCTCACCAGCTGCAAGTCAGGATGCCTGCTGCTAGGAGCAATCCAAGGATAGCATGCTGAAAGTGACTTTTGATGATGGTAAAGCCTTCCTCTTTCTCTGCTTGGATACAGTACAGCTTCATATATAACGGCATCCTTTTCCATTTCCACCTGTTTTAATCCATGATGAGCGCAACTTTTGGAGTGAACTGCCTGACCATGGCTGACATTGGCCATGTGACACATTTTGTGTCGCAGCAGACACAGAAAACCTTCCAGGTCTCACATACCTGAGGAAAAGCCTCCCAACTATATAGGACATGTCTCCTGAACTGTGCCTCTGCCATGCCTGGTCTGAAGCGAGGAACTCAGCTCTGTACATCACATATGAGTCAGGAACCGTATGTTTGCCTTCGGAAGAAGTTACGCCGGAGCAAATGCACGTCTTAGTGCAGGCTTGGTCACACCATCAGGTTAAGCAGAGGCAACAGGGATCTGCCTGCACCCACCACACCAGGGACTTACATAGCAGCTCAAGTCACTTATGCTTCTGAAGGCACAGTGGGCTACTGAGGATGGCTGGGGTGTCTGCTCCTGCCCATGACAGATGTGAGGCAGCCATCTCCTATCTCAGGGTGAGGCAAGCTGCTTCTTACAAGCTCACAGTTACTATAGCAGCATGTAGGTAAGCAGCACCCACTAACTAGCTAATCTGATGCAAGCTGACATCATGGCCTGCCTGTGCACGTGTGCATTCAGGCTCTTCGCTGAGCAGACTCCCAAGAAACTTGTTGCCACAGTCAAAAGAAGAGTAGAAGCCCAGGAAGGTGAGCCTGTGCAGGTCAGCTTGGAAATTATTCTTGTGGCCAGACACTGTGCCACGTCTTGGTGCAGTGGCTTTTTGGACACTTGTGGCACCCATGAATTTACCTGTCTTGTCATTTGCCAGACACAGTCAATGAACTGGAGGAAGACAGGAGAGCGATCCGCATCTGCGTGATTCTTATCTCCATGGCCAACTCTCTGAAACAGAGCAGGACAAAAAATATGAGTCACACAGGGCTTTATGGGGAAACTGCTGGGGTCTCCTCGCAGTCACCCAAGCCTTTACCAAGAGCTACAGGAAGGTTCAAATGCGTCCTGATTTTGCTTTGTCCACGTCAGTGGGCAAAGGAGTAAAGGACAGTTACTCCCTTAGTCTTTGAAGTGAAATTTCTTTATGGGGATATTTTCATGCTAAATTAAAACAAGAGTTGTTTGAGTGGAGGCTCCAGATGCTGTGTTGGCACCGATTTCAGTTAATAGCTAAAGTTCAGGAGCAAAAAAAATGAGAATGCTTTTCGCTTCATTTGCAGCTGTCGTCCTGGCTACTTCAGTAGTCCCGTGTGCTGGATCTAAACACTACCTACGGGCACGGCATGCGGCGATAACCGTCACACGACGCCTCGCAGCTTCCAAGCGCTGTACAAACACTAACCCAGGCCCATCTCCTGCCACCTCAAGAGAGGCAGTGATGAAAGTATTCCCAGAAGTAGGCCTCCAACCCTGACCACGCTGTGTGGCCAAGACATGTGACGCCTGATTCCTTACAACTAGTATAGTACGTTAGTGGTTATATATTACCCAGGAGCACTAAGTACCGTACAAAGACAGAACAAGAACACATAAGTAACAGAGATCCCTACCTCTTCTGTAACACTGTTCTCCCCTTACCAAAGGAAATCAGTATCATTATCTTCTTTGTATAGACAGGGAAGCTAAAATACTCATTGTTCAAACACCAGAGAACAGATTTGCTGCAGCAGAACCTCAGCTGCGTAGTGCCTCAGTTTCCCCACCTTCCACAGAGCATTTGACTATGCAACCCACCATGACATGTGCTGTAAACAGACCTTGTTCTACCTTCTGCCAACGTTAAACGACCACAAGAGAAAAGCTACAAGCAAAACACAACAGGAACAAAGACTGAAAGGCGCTCTCAGTTCCCATCAGTGCCAACCGTAACAAACCGCTGTGTCACAAGTCCGCAAGCTGCCTCTCTGCCAACTCCAGGGACACAACCACGAGCTACTCTTCATCCAGTCTGCAACTTCTGACCTTTTACCAAAACAATTAAAAGCCTCCCCAAAAATAAAATGTGCCTGACAAAAACGTGAGGTCAAGGCCATAACCAAATTCCCCAGCCTTTTCAATAGGATGGCATTTGTTAGATGATGATGTCCAATCAGTTTCAGAAAATGGACTGAACTGGAAAGAAAGACAATAAATATCCCAGTGGTCTCTGCCAGCTCCCAGCAGAAATACCTATCCTGAACCCAAAGCACACCACTAGTTTAAGCCTAAGCATGGGGACACGACACATCAGTCAGGCACTTGACAGATTTAATACCACCTGTTCCTCGTATCTAACCAACACTGTCTCCAAGGAGTTTAAAAGATGACTGGAATTATAGGCAGAAAACAATAGCAGCACCATTCACCTTTCTTCTGCGAGTTCAGCTGGAACACTTCTCACGCAAAAGGCTAAACTCCTTTGAAATCCTTCAAGGTGGACAATAACTTTCTGTTCAGTGCCTTCCAAGGGCTAGTGACTCACCAGCTGAAATCTGTGGCCGAAGCTCAGCCACTCCTTCTCCACTAGCACTTCAAAGCCCCTGATAGTTCGGTAGTAGCCATCTAACATGAGCAGAGAAAGAGAGGTGAGCTGGGCTGTTCGGTCCCAGCCATCACTGCAGTGTACAACCACAGACGTCTTCCCCGATTCCACTTTGTCGGCGATCCGAAGGGCTCCAGCGAGAATGAGCTGGGACAAGAAAAAAAAGTTACAAAATCTCTTTGGAACAGAAACTACAAATGAAAAATGGCTAGTGACAACACAGGACAAACCAAGGGCTCCGTCTGCCTCCAGCAGAATAGTAAATTATTTCCAACTACTTTAGAACTAGGACAGCAAATTAGTGAACACATTTTTTGTTCCAGCAAGATGTCAACACGTCTAAACTGTAGCATAGGCACAACTCTAGAAGGGCCTCTGCATTCAGCTCAGTCTTTGGACAGACCAGGATTTAAATGCAGGAGCATTCTGTGTCGGAACATGAACACAAAATCATAGAATCATAGAATGGTTAGAGTTGGAAGGGACCTCAAAGATCATCTAGTTCCAACTCTCCTGCCATGGGCAGGGAAACCCTCCACTACACCAGGTTGCCCAAAGCCTCATCCAGCCTGGCCTTGAACACTTCCAAATGGCCATCACCTTGCAACTGCCCCTTTCCGCAGTAGCAGGCAGACAACGTAAGCTGGATGTTTTTAGGAAAGAAAGAGCTTAATTTGAAAACCAGCATTTGTAGAAGCTGAAGCATTTTTCCCCACTCATTCCAATTCTGCTTGGATTCCTGGAAGGCTGAGGGGGCATGAACTCCCAATATCTGTTGGTCTGAACCAGGCAGTAATGCCAGGATGTCGAGGACTCCCGAGTAAAGAGCTTGAAAACTCAGGGACTCCTATGCTCTAAGCAGAGCTTTCACCAGTTATACGTTACCCAGGAACACACTTCACTTTCAAAACACCATCTTTCAGTATTTCAAACCCCTCTCTTGTCCCTCTTCTCATCTCCTCCAAATTCCCCATTCCAAGAAACTGTGTTTTTAGTTGTTTTTAAATTGAGAACAAATTGTAAATATTTAAATTTCTCATGAATTGAAAATCAAGCACTGGAGTTAGCTCTGGATACGCTTCCCAGTGAACAGGCTGGTTACTCAGCCACATCCAGTGGGTGCAGACATGGCATACCTTGATATGCTCTAGCCAGTGAGTTGACTCTAAATTGGACAGCCAGTGAGTCTCCTCGATATTGGGATACACAATTTCTTTCAGTTTTCTCAGCGATTCTCTCATAACATGAATATTATGAATGTCCAGGAACACTAACTCTGCATTCTGATAGGCATCCTCACTCTCATAGCCCCCTCCTTTAGCCTGAAGAACAAAATCCACATTAAAATCATTAAGCCAAAACAGATTTTATATTTTATCCCAATCATTTGTCCTGAGCAAATATCAGCTGACAAAATACCACAGTGATTGGGCTATCTAAAGCAGGCAGAAAACATTGTATTTATCTTGTAATTTGTAACAAACATGTACATGCATACACTTTGTGTGTCTTTCCTGCAATAGTAACGAATGTAATAATTTTTACCAAAGAATATCACATTACAAGCCTTCTTTTTCGCTGTAATTATCATTTATCCCTATTCAAGCTGCTAACTCATTAGATTCACTATTCTGTCATTTACAAATTTACCACTGTTATAGAGAAGTATATCCCACACACTAATTGCCTTTCCTAAGTAGTGGGAAAGGCAGATTTGAAAAAAAAAAAAAAAAAGAAGAAAAAAAAATCAGCTTCAGTGCAACAAAGCAGTTCTACCATTAAAACAGGGCTTAGAGTGATGGCATGAGACATAACAGCAGGAAGAACACAGCAACGTTCCTAGACATTAAAGATCCCCAGCTCATATTTTGAAATTAAAGAGCATGATGCCTCATTTTTGGAACTGCTGAGTAACCTCTGCTCCCATCAGGGTTAACAGGGACAGAGTTCTGGTGCTCTTAGAGGAAGCAGTCTCTCAACCACGTGAAGAGAAAAACGGGGATACACAAGATCCAAGGGTGCTAGAGTTTGACTTCAGCACTACTTTGATTTTTTCCCCTTCCAACCTCATTTCTACTTGTGGATTAATCCAAACGGACCTTTCAGTCACACTGATGTCCACTGATACCAGCGCAGGTGTAAAAGCCTGCCTAGAGAATCAGATCAGTGCATATGAATCTCTTCATAGTAGAAAAGGAATAATTTGAGATGGTGGCAGGAAATGTGCTCTAAATGATTATGTTCTCAGCTCCTGACAGAGGAAAAAGCATCTGACCTTATTGGCTACAGCATTCACACTAGGCCTTGCATCAAATATGAAGATTTTATGGGACTGAGCATTGGAATCCATGATGGCTTGAAGGTACTTCTCATCTTCCTTGCTTCGTTTGCCACTCACTCCCACCATCGGCTGGCTACAGCGAGTGATGGTTGCTTGACTTTCTGGGTGAATCCATGACAATACCTTTGGAAACAAATGAGAAAGAAACGAAGGAAACATGGGATTTATTAAACCAGGGAAGTGCTTTATCTGTAGTGGCTTGTGCTGGGATCCTGCCATGTATTAGCTGGTTCCAGAACGCTGAAAGAAAGAACTCTTCTGTCCTTATTCATTCTGGTGGCATTCCCAAAGTTTGAACAAACAAGAGGTGACTGAGTAGGTTTAAGTCTGACTTTTAAATATGATGCAGACTGTTTTCTCCCTGTCGTGTGAGTCACAAACACACTTCCTTGCTCTGCAGTCATTGGGCTATGTCTTACTCTACGTTACACCACGTAAAAGTTAAACACTTTAGGAAAAGATCTAATTTTCTATAGGCTTGAGAAGTAAAATGGTACCTTTTCCGTTAGTGCTGAAATAATTGTAATGATGTGTTTTGTCTTAATTTCATTTAATAAGCATTCTCATCAAGAGTATCACTAAGTATTCCTCTATCCTGAAAGTCAGAGTAGACCAGACAATTGTAAACAACCAAAGAGGACTGCTTTGCATTTTCCAGGGACCGAACTGAGATTCAGACTGGGTTGTGCTAAGTTATCTTATCTTTTCATTTTGGTTTAGTCTACATCTCTTTCACAACAGTAGTTCCAGCAGATAATGTTGCTTTCTAACTCCTCAAACATGTTGCTCTCACTTTTATTATCTATCGACCATTTATTTGCTCCCTGGAATTCACTAAGCCTGATCTTAGTATTATTTATGGTCCAAAGGTATGTAACACCACCACATCAAAGTGGCTCCTTTTGTGACACTCACTGGTATGCGTCCTCTCGATCTGAAAGATGCTACTCGCTTTAATTCTTCATCAGGAATGTTTACGGGCACAGCTAGAATGGCAGGGTACGTATCACACAGCTCATAGCGCTCGTTAATCTTGGTCAGCCTCCAGCTTTCATTGGGAATTCCCTGAAGAGGAAACAACAGCAGGTTAGCAAACGAGTTGCTCGGAGAACTCAGCACAGTCAAATCCCCAGACCTGAAATTCAAGGTAACTTTTGTTAATTAAGGACATTTAAGGTTGGAGCCTGGAACTGCATTACCTTGGTAACTTGCATTTCTGCCTCTTCCTAGAGAGGCAGATGTTTTGCCCAGGCCACGGAGGAAAAGGAAAACTAGAATCATAGAATGGTTTGGGTTGGAAAGGACCTCAAAGACCACCTAGTTCCAACACCCCTGCCATGGGCAGGGACACCTTCCACTACACCAGGTTGCCCAAAGCCTCATCCAACCTGGCCTTGAATGTTTCCAGGGATGGGGCATCCACAACTTCTCTGGGCAACCAGTGCCAGTGCCTCACCACCCTCCAAGTGAAAAATTTCTTCCTTAGATCTAATCTAAATCTCCCCTCTTTCAGTTTAAAGCCATTGCCCCTTGTCCTATCACTACATGCCCTTGTAAAAAGTCCCTCTCCAGCTTTCCTGTAGGCCCCCTTTAGGTACTGGAAAGCTGCTATAAGATCACTCCGGACCCTTCTCTTCTCCAGGCTGAACAGCCCCAACTCTCTCAGCCTGTCTTCATAGCAGAGGTGTTCCAGCCCTTGGATCATCTTTGTGGCCCTCCTCTGGACTGGCTCCAGCAGCTCCATGTCACACTGAAGACTGCAGGCAGGCAGACTGCATCAGAAGACTGCAGGCAGGCTCACCTATGGCAAAGGAACTGTGGAGGCTACAGATGTGGCAACACAGGTGATGCCCTCGAGAACATCTTTCACATACCACCTGGGCTCATCATGGCACTTAAAGGAGAGCCAGGAGCAGGACAGAACAGGTGACCAACAGTCCTCACTCCTCTCTTGGCACTTAGCTCAAACATGGTGGGTGGAAACTGAGCATGGAGAGTGGAGTTACCAGACAGGATGGATTGGAAGTCAGAAGCGAAAATGAACAGTAAAACACTCCCAAAATCAATCAATCTCTTTTCGGCCTTGTTCAGTGTTTGTGGCACAGCTGTACAATCCCCTAAAACTACGAGAAACCTAATAATTGTATGTCTCTGGCCATGTGCCTCCATGTGATCTGGACAGTGATATGTGACTCCCATGTTCCTCTCAGACTAAGCTATCTGGTTGAACTAGTCTGACTTAAGCTGAGAGAGCAAGGAATCTACACACCTTCCCGTCGAGCTCAGCGTGCCCTGATGGGGAAGCAACTCAGCTTTCCAGAGGACAACCTCCAGGTAACACCCAAAGCACAACAGGGACGATCCTGACAACCAGCAGACTTAGTTTGGCTGACGCTGGGAGTTACCAGATCAAAATGGTGTGGTTGCTACTGTGTGCCTGCAAGGAAAGATTTAAATAGACACATGCTGCAGCGAGGGTGAGCTCTGACACAAAACATCTCTGTGGGGAAGATAGATCTACTACAGTGAGCATGGCTGGAGTGTTAAGCACAGAGTCTGTTTTAGAGGAACATCAGCTCTTAAAACAATAGATGCTTCTGTTCTAATAAACAGTACTTCATTTTAAGGAGGGTGGTGGGACACTGATTACCACTGTCCAGCTCCCACAGGAAATAAATGACAAATCTAACACAAGTCAGACGAGCTGCGGTAATTATGGTTGACCCACTCAGACTGCAGCCGGTCCCCCGTCAGAGCGGTGAGTCAGGCTGTCAAAAGAGGTCATGGTTAGAAATCTGAGGAGAAGACAGACCTTCTGTCTAATGCTGGTCACACCTTGCTTGTGAATCACCCCTGGTCCTGGAGCAATCCCTGGGAAGGAGATGGTACTACAAGGAATCAGCAGAGCTGCTGGGATCACGAGTACCCCAAAACCCTAAAGAAAAGCTATTTTTGGCAATGCCTGAAGCCCAAGAACTGGCAAAAACAGGCATCAAATAGCATGTATGCATAGTCCAAGCTTACTAAATGGTAAAACATGCTCAGAGGTCTACCTGCTGTACACAGCAAGGATGGAATCTCCTGACTCCACCAACTCTGCTGTCAACCAGGGAATAGCAAGACTCTTGCTCTTAGCTGTCCATCAGCTGTGATCAAACTGGTTACTATCTGGAAGCAAACCAGTGGCAAATTACTAAATTGTGCTCAGTTCTGTCCTAGTAAGTACGTGACTGCACTGCAATGGATCCATGAGCAGCACTTGGAGATTTCACCTCCCCCAAATCTGTATTAAAACTACGCTGTTGGCATACTCTTGGCAAGGAAAACAGGAGGTGACAAGCAGTTACATGAAAGAAAAGCTCCTTTTTGTTCTACCCTGCAACTCTACCAGTGCTCACTGAGAAGACCAAGCAGTTGCTGGCACTGCAAAGCACCCTCTTCACAGTGCTGGGCAGAACAGCTTCACCACATGCTGCTTGATCCAGAACCAACACCTCCAAAGCTCTCAGTCTTTCAGCTGCCACTCTGACCAATTTGAATGAAATCTTTCCTCTGCAATAGTCCAGATCAGGAAAATCCACGACAATCCCTCAAAGAAGGAAAAGACACTGTCAGCATTCAAACATCTTTTGAATCACAAGGAATGTATGCTTTCCCCTGGCACAGGAGCCCTGAATCACAGCGCCACCCAAAGAGGGCTTTGGATTCAGATTGTGATTTTCTCTAAGGACTCAAAGCGAGCAGAAATAAGCAAAGTAGGCTAGAAGAGGAGAGGAATTTGCATCTTCCCAGGACATTTGCCATGACGCAGTGTAGCTTGTGTATTTATTTATGCTCCTTCAGATTTGCACTTTCTCCAGCTGGAATCAATAGAAAAAGCTAAACATGATATAAAGCACACTGGTATTTCCTCATATAAGATGCACTTCACTGCTTCCTGGAAAGTTGTAAGCACCCAAAAGCCTACTATCAAACTAACCCAAACTGTTACAGATGTAACTCAAGAAGCCTTTGCAGGCTCAGGACCAGCTCTGGGAGCTACCTGCCTGTGCACCTGCATGAGGAACCCAGGCACGCCTCGCTAACGGTGGGTGTGATGGTCCAGAAGCTGCTAGGGAACGTGGCTGGGGGGTGTCCTCCTGAGTGACCAGAGCAGGCTGCCCTGAACGGAGCACAAGGTCTGTCTTCTCCAGGGAAACTAATGCTGCTAGTAGGTCCCGATTTCAGGAGAATTCGTGTTCGGTTGCTGTCAGAGGACAAAGTAAGGAAGGCAACACAGCCACATCTATACTCATAAATTAAATGTGCCCAGGACCGTCCTCGCTAAGAGCAGCTGCCACAGTGCACCTCACATCCACATTATTAAAATCTTTTATCCTCAAAATGGGGTGGTTTGTCCAAACTGCCTACTGGTGATCCTTGGCTTGTGTCAGCCCCTGTCCTGTGCCCAGGTTTGAGAGCAGGCAAGCTGGGCTTGCAGCCCTCTCTGCCCCACAGAGGCCCAACTGCCTCTTCCAGGTCCTGGCTCTAATGTGGCCCAGCTGTACGACCATGGCTCAGACCACCAAGGACACTGCAAAGCCATGTGAAAGAGCTGTGTGGAAATCTATTGAAAGACAAGAAATGTAAAACTACAGATTGAGGAAGAGGAATGTTGAGATTGGGATCACTGGTAGCTCAAGGTTTCAATAGAGAACACATCATCATCAAATGGTATAAAATCAAAAGGAAAAACTGTGAGTCCAGCAAGGAGTCATTGGGTGAGGGCCAACAGCTGGATCATCTGTGTGCTGGGGTTGACATTACTGGTGGAAGTAAGCAACAACAACCCAACTGAGGGAGGTGCAGAGGCTGATCCTACTCCTCCTACTAGTGCCTGCCTGGCCAGGAAAGTCTCTTCAGATGCCTTCTCCGAGGTGGTGAGCACTAGTGCTCAGTCTACTAGCCGGTTATCTGCCTGGCTACCTTTTTTGTCTGTTAGCCAGTAAATAACCACTTCATACTTTCAGCCTGCATACACCTTGCTGGCAGAGCATCTTCGTGCATGGCTAAAGGTGCCCAGATGCACCCACTCAAAAGTGAGATGGTAACAGCCTGGACGGAAGCTATGCCTGGAACTTGTAATGAAGGTGCCCCAGTGCTTGGGAACACTCCTTACAACTGTACCATCTAACCACAGAGACACAGCCTTTGTGCTATCTCCACACACAAACTAGACTTTGTTTTCCTCTGGATAGCCATTCATGCTTTACTTTAATAAGCAGTGCTCAGCTATCACTTGACCTACACAAGTCGCATGCCTTCATGGAAGCATGGAGTTTCTTCATTTGCAGGGAAAAACTGTTGAAGCGTGGCACCGAAACCATCACCCTGCAAAGTATACGTTTAAGCTTAAGCACACGAGGATCTTTCATTGACAGAAGAAAAATAGTCTCCTTGCTGGAATTACACAGAGTCACATCTCTCTATGGGATCCAGTAGACCGATTCTGAGCTTAGCCATGCAGGTACACCCTGAGCTGCAGCAGGCAAGGCAGGGATGGTCCTGAGTTACACACCAGCAATGCCTCTCAAACTTGGTTTGAGCCATGAGATACCAAGGGGCTGAGCTCAGGCACATCCCTACAACGACACAGGATACAGCTGCCAGAGCCAAGCTGGTCCCTCTGGCACGTACTCAGCCCAGGTTGTGTCCACTTAGCACAAGAGAGCTTTGATCCGTTTTGCAGTAGACACATACCGAGCATAAGCAGGACCTCAGTCAAACCATGGGACAATTTAACAGTTACACCCAACAGTCCTCTGTAGGATGCTGTTCTCATGTTCTACCTTTCCCACTCTGCTTGTATACTAACGCTGGGCACTTCTTTTATCCTGAAAACAGGTCAGCTCCACTTCTGAATTATTAATTTCTATATGCTTTCTTTGAAAGCAGCAACCACAGCCCTATACTGTGGCTCCCTGGTACACGTGACCAGAGCATAGGATTAGATGAGCATGACTTCTGTAGAGAAACATCACACATTTCCAGCTTCACAACCCCTTGTAATATTTTCCAAATGCTCCCCACCTTGTTAAGGAAAATGAAAGCTTTAAGTTACTCTAAAGGCATCTCAAGGCCTTTGGGTTTCAACTGAGTCTTACTCACTTTGCAATTCTGTTTTATACTCTGCCAGCCAGCGTGTAATAAAAATCAGCGAGCAATTTCAGTTTTAAATTTCATTTGCCACATGTGATTCCATTTACTGACTAAATCCCAAAACTCTCTGAGTTCCTTTTGTTCTCTACAGGTTGTTTATTACTCCCCATAGTTTTACACAATCACAGATTTTTAATAAGTTACATATTTCCGTCCTTCCCAAGAACGCTAACAGAGAAGTCAGGGTTTACTGACTATCTTTCCTAATTGCTACAGTCTCTATCATATCAATTATTTTATTAATCTGAAAAAAAAAATGTAATAAATCATACCACACACAGACTTGCCATTTTACTACTGTAGACGTAGATCCTACTCTGAAAGTCTTTTCTGGATGCCTGGTAGCTGGCTTCTACTCTTACTCCGCTCCCCTCTCTCTGTGTCCCTGCTTTCACTGGGAAATGACTGACCTGGCCTAAGACATACCAAGTTAACACCTGGCCATACTGCTGGGCTGCTTATGCCCTAGGGCAGCTATTCCCTAATAGTTTTAAACCAATTCCAAAAGGTCCTGCAGACAGCGCATATGTCCTGCTTTTCTATTTCTGATCACAATTCATACAGTCAGAGACAGGTAATCCTATTATCTGATTTGATGATGCCAGTTTTGTTTCACTGTTAACGAATCCCTGCTGCCATTTCAGGACATAATCCTGATTTACTGTAGTATTTGTTATTGCCTTAACAGAATCTGGTTGGATTAAGAAAAAAGGCTAAGACATTCACACAGATAAATTGAACATCCATAGTTATAAATGCTGAAATTATATAAACAGACCAAAATACCTAAAAGTTTTGGAGAGGACGTAAAGCTTCATGCTGCAGGACCTAAATCAACTCTAATGAAAGGGATGAAATTTTCCTCCTGGCCAGATCACAACATAAACATCTACCGCAGTACAGTCTGCCTCTTCTTCAGCAGCTGGTGTTGGTCACTTTTGGAGATAAGCTACGGGAACAGATGGATTGTGTGATCTGGAATGGGAATGACTGTGGCCCATCATGGGTAAAATTCAGATAGGCCACGGCTGAAAAAATCCAGGTTTGGATTCATTTTTGCAGTTATCAATGTAAGCAAATGACATGGGGCTTCAGCATATGGAAATTAGTTTGGTTTCTTGATGTAAAAGCAGTCAGGCTAAGCTTTTCCTGAGCACTTAGCAACGACACAAAAGCAGATCACAACAAAAAAAAGTACATGCTGCAGCAATGTCTCAGTCGTGACACGCATTACACACAGCAATGCTACGTTGTGTGACCAGAAACAAAGATGCCATGGCCCAGAGTCACAATTTCTTTACAAAAAGGCCATGAAGAGCTGCGAATCAGATGCATGTAAATATATGTATCCTTCCATGGTGTAACCAAGCTCCCGCCAAACTTAAGGTATAACCAATCACAATATAAAAACTACTATGGATAGAAAAGCTTGTAGTCTAAAACCAGACAGGCCAAGATTAAGAAATCGGAATAATTTACCCTGAAAATCTCAAAGGTCACCCTTCCTTCTTTCCAAGTATACTCAGAATGACTTTTGTACTTCAGCTGTTTTAACTGAAGCTTGGCAAAGGGAACGCTGTGCTTTTCAATGGAGATTATTTTGACAGTGCAGGTATTCTTCAGTCTGCACTCCAAAGTTCTCAGTCCTGTAAAGAAACATCTTTCCCACACAGCTTGGGCTGCAGGTCCTTCTTTATAAACAGATCTTTCCTTAAAGTAACTACCAAGAAGAGGTAAATTCTAAACAAAGCAATCTGCATTATCTGGTCTTATCAGTCAAAGTCGATCTTAGATCCAATGTGCATCATTGATTACGAATGACTGGAGTTTGTCTCCAATAGGATTTTAGATTGTGGTATCTCATTGCAAAACGTACACTTTTTTGCAAGATAAGATCTTGCAAAGTAAGATTCGTCTCACTTTCCATTAGCAGCCCAGAGGCCAGCAATGTATCTTAGGCAGCTATTTGAGGAGGGAACAAATCACCCGCAACAGTGAAGCTCTCTCTCCCCATCTGTTAATGATCAATTTAGAAGGCATGCCCAGCTTTTGGAAGACTAAAACTAGGAAAATGAATCCCTTCCCTAGGTTTTGGATGTCAGGAATCAGATGAACAACGAGGCTAGGACAGACACCTTCTTTTGTTTGGCTTTATGAGAAAGACTCAAATAAATCTTTACATTACATGGCTGTATATTTCTTAATTTTACAAAGGAAAATTGGTTTTATCCTGGCAGATCTGGAGGACACAAAAGTTTACTGCATCCAGGGCAAAACTGGCACCGAATTGTGCTGTTTCCTCAACTTGATAATTTTATGAAAACAGTGATTTCATTATAAAAACCAAAATACTCCCACCTTTTCCCCCAGGAAGGATCACTCAAGTTTTTATCACAGTATTCCTAATTGACAGCCTACCGCTTCACGATCATTAACACCTTTGACCAGTCTACTCTAGACACACTACAACTGTCTGTTCCAAGCTACAGTTAATCACAACGCCCTCTGGGTTGATCCCTATGCTGATTCCCTCAGAAAATAAAGGCATTCAACATTTATTTTTTTTTCCTTCCAAGTTCCTGTTGGAGGTATCTTACAGAAAACTGCAAAGAATTAAAACTGATACAAGCAAGAGCTGAGGTGTGAAACTCAACAATGGCATCCTCTGTTCCTCACTGCCAGCAGTGGCTGATGACTAAGCCACAGCAATAGTTTTTTTCTACCAAAGCCTAACGTCAGCTCTCTGCAGCCTGAGTAATCTCCATCAGTGGATGCTACTATCTCTAAAGCTGTACTGCTGTCATCAGTCACTGCAGTGTAGAGAACAATGTCCTAACCCAGCCTGCATGACATTCCTCAGCAGGATCACTCTCCACTCCATGTGACCTGTAGCTATATTACTGCGCAGAGCTTCACTTCTGAAGAGTGGAGAGGAAGAGGAAGGACATGACACAATACCCACCTGTCTTCTGTACTCCCAAGTGGGGTCATAGACCTTCCATCCATTTTCTGGGAAAACCTCTTTGTACTCGAATGCAAAAAGTGGCTGAAAGAAAGAAAATTTACTATTAAGAGCCCATTCAGAGCCCATTTCCAAGATGTTTGATATCTCAAATAATAACTCAGGACTGGTCCTTCTTTTTTTCCCTCCGCATTACTTTTGCTTTAGGGCTTTATGAAAAAGATCAACATGCTCACTGTAGCAGGTAATTAGTACAACCATGTACTTTCCTCTATACCGCTGATGTTTCTTGTGGTGCTTCATAGACAAAAGCAGATTATTACTAAAGAGAAAGAAAAGACTACTTAGGCAAGAACGCTTTTACACATTAAGAACTAGATCCTTTCAATCTGTATTTGAAGCAACAACTGCAGTGTTATAACACAACAGAATTGAACTGCGTTCCAGAACTGGGAGCAGTGCAGTTACCGTTAGCTGTAAACCTCTCATGGATTTCACTATGCATTGAATATTTTCTCTCTGTTTTGAGGATGTATCAGTAAGTTATTTTCCATGCATGAAGAAAACCAGCTTCACAGTAGCAGATTTTTTCAGTTTCTATGCAGACTAAATTCCTACAGAATTCACTCTAAGACAGATATTAAAAACCAGCATTTCTCTTCCTTCAACAAAATGCACCCCATGTGAATATTGTACCAGGTAGATGAGACTGAACAAACCAGCTTACTGCCACTCTGTATCTTTTGGTATAACTGAAAAGAACATACTTACCAGATTATTTGAAACTGGGAAAGCATATTTCATTAGGTTCTCAAATATGGATCGTCTAGTTCTCCCTTCAGGCTTATGAGCAAATCGCAAGTTTCGAATATCCTAGGAAAAAAGAGGGAAATCAAATTGCAGATTTCCGAACCAGTTCAACATCCAAAGAAACTTCAAAAGCCAGCATTCAAAATAGAGTCACATCACAATGCTCTTTCTAGTACTGATTTAATGTCATACTTTGAACACTGTTGTACTACAACTCTGGGCTTGGTTCAGTGGTCGTCTGCAGCCTTCAATAAAGCCTGACACAACTGCAGAGGAGCACAGGGAATGCACAGGCATGCTGATTGGCAGCATCTTGCCTCTACATGAAGCTTTCCACCTGCTGAAAGTCTAGGGGAGAGCCCTGCTCAGGGACAAGCTACCTCTGACTGTCAGGACTTTGTGAGACAGGCCTCCCAGCTCTTACCAGGCTCTCAGGCTGAGCTGTGCCAGAAGACAGCTGGAAGGGACTGCCTTGCAAAGTGCCTCCATGGAGCTACTGCACATAGGGAGCCCAAGCCCAGGCAGTTCAGTGCAAAGCTTCCGTCTCTCAGAGCACTGGAGAAGATGACTGAAACCAACAACTCCTCCACTTTGCACTGCAACACAGTTTCCATAAAGAGTGGTAACCCAAGACCTCCTTTCCATACTTATCTACAAAATCAAATTCAGAAACTAAATAAAGCATCTCTAAGATGTCAAGATTTTCCAGCCAAGCCGACAACTCAAACACTTGTAAACAGTTTAAAAGCCACCAGCAGGAAAAGAGCTATTAAGTTCAAGCGTATGAAGATGGTACAGCAAGTCAGAGAATGAGATAAACAGCTAGACTCAGCTGTCTCACAAGACTGAGATTAAGTAATTGGTCTCAGGCAGAGAACATTTCAGAATGCGTAAACTGTATCTATACTCTTCTGTTATTGCACTAAACTGCTCTGCATATCCTGGGCCAAGCAGGCTGCCATATATATATCTATATATCTATATATCTATACATCTATACATCTATATATCTATATGCTGCATAGGGCCAAGATACCTATCATATAGTCTATGCCCGGGTTTCCCACCCAGGGAAACAATGCAGTTCACTCCAAACCTGACCATGTATGTAAATCTGCATATAGGCAAAACGGCTGAGGACTAAGAATCCAGACCAAAACAGGGAACAAATTAGCTTGCCAGCACCAGCACCCCTACGTTATCCACGGAGGATCATGACTGCAGCAGGATGAGGAAGCAGCTGAGTGACTTGGCATACATTATATCAACTGCTCTTGACTCGGCACGCCCACAGCTTGAGAGTTTGCTTAGCTTCCTGGTGTCTCAAAATCACAGCAGTGACCGGAAAAGTTTGAGACTCATTTTCATTCTTCTGTCTGTCCTTATCCAGAAAGTGGCATCCTTTCAGCTTTGAGGGGGCTCTGACAAGAGCTTTAAGCTCTCTGGATTCTTGCTCAGAATCCAGCTCTTCCCACATGGACAGCAAGGGAAGTTGAGGGACCATGGCCTGC